GCTCTATCGAATGGAAAACAATAGTTTGGGCAGAAAATAAAGAACTTCATCTAAAAATTCTCCAAGTGAATAATCAAGACTGGAATGAATTGATCAAACAATGTGAATATGGATTTACTTTTGCAGATAGTCGAATTCAGTTAGCAAGATCAAAAGCATTTTCAATTGACATAACTAAGATTGATCCCAGACCTTATGATCGTTCAGAACAAACTGAATATAAAAATGAGAAAACTGAGGGAAACTCATCTGAAAAAAGTTTGACTTTTAAGAACGAAATAACAGCAAAATTACCTTTATCTTACTTATCTTACTTATCTTTATTTGGTAGCATCTCCTATGAAAGGATGAAAGAATTTATTAAATCTCGCGATGAAAAAATATCTTCATCGTCTGATGAAAATTCAAGTCAGTTCTAGAACTTGATAGTACGAATATTGAATTGACAGAAGACTTTAAAAATGAAGTAAAGTCAGCATTAAAAAAACATTGCGTGAAGAGAAAATTAAAGAACTTAAAAAAATTTCAAAAAGATATGGACAATTCTATGCTAGTAAAGTTTTTTTACGGAACAGCAAGCATTAAGACTTCCGTAAATATTAGTACACGAAAAAATGGTATTATTTTAATTATTATATTTTATCATGAGTCAGTATAATTCTTGCACATACATTAATATTTAAATCTTTCATAACTTCAAAATAAAATTTACACGAAATAAGATTCCACAGACACTAACTTTAAGGTGACTGGTGATGCTGGTGTTGATAAATTTGTAAAAATTCAGACCGAAGTAGATCATAAATCTGAATACTCCACATCAAAAGCGTCTAATATATCAAAAATGAAGCCAACTATAGTTGGTGGAGAGGATGCCGAACACTGGCAAATAATTTATTATGACATAAGGCCAATATTTGAATTGCTCAGTGATGATTTAAAAAATAAAGTGTTGAAAGCTTTTGGTAAACGAATTCTCAAAAGTAAGTTTTTAATTTATTTTCATTCATTTCATCTCCAATGTGAAGATTGGCTTTGTTTTATATCCATTAGAGAGTAGTGTGCATCGCATTGATGATGATTACATATCACTATCATTATTGCAGGCCATGCTGTTACCACTATACCAATTCTTATCAGTATATTTGTATTCTAAAATTTCATATATAAAAATTAAAGAAAAAAACAAAATTAGGTTTATTATTTAATATGATGATAACAACGTTAATCGTATGAGGGTAAAAATCGATACGAAAGTACGGATGTGAATTAATAATCGAATTGGATGTATTTGTAGCCGAAAACATCTTACAGTGATTCGATTCTTGATCTACACCTGTACCGGTATTTTACTCACTATACAATAATTTATAATAGTTTCCTCACCAATACTATATATAATTCACGATAAAAAACTTAATAGGTGGAATTACAACTCACGGAATAAATTCACAAGGTCCGACTATAATCATTGAGCGGGACAGTGAATTTGAAGATCTTACCTCGAATCCAGTTCATGAGTGCCAGATCTTTGCATTAATAATGCAGCAAGATGATAATCATAGATATTATTTGCGAGTTCATTATATAGATGAACACACACCAGCATTTGTTGTTCATTGTGATACTGGTAAGAAGAATAAGAATAAGTCAGAACATGAGATACAGATTGGTTGGATCATTGTTGGTTACTCCAAAACATTTGAAGATTGCATGATAGAATGTGAAGCATTAGAAAATGATTTGAGTTTTACGAAAAAGTGTATGATAGAATGTGAAAAATTAGAAAATAATTTAAGTTTTACAAATAAGTATAAATAGTGATGTGCATTACTGAATGTCCCGACGACGGTCCTAGTAAACATAATTTATATAAGTCAAAAGTCGTGACCAGTATTCATTTCTCTTCAGAGAGTTCTGCATGCTTGCTTGTTCACAATCTTGATAAAGAAAATAATGTTAATGACGATAATTATATTAAAACGAAAATATTATTTGGATATATTAATAAAGATTCCTTAGAAAGATTAAATAAGTACTGTATATTTTCTTATTTGATCGTTTCTGCATTTGTTTGTTCAACTAGTCATATTATATATTTTTATTATAGAAAAATTATTGCCGTTAATATTAAACCTAATAAACCTCAAACATGGGAGAGCTTACTCGGTGGGGACGAAAATTTTATCTCTTCTGACGGGAAAAGAAAAAATTTTATTTACCCATTATTTATGAATGTCACCAATGATTGTAGATTGACTAATACTACTACTCCAAACAATAATTGCAGCCAACATGGATTGGTAATTGCTACTCCAAAACATCTAATTTATCATCCACATAGTAAAAATTTAAAATTTGAACCCTGTGTTTCAATTTTATTATTGAAAAAAATAAAATAAACTGGCTTATATAATTCATGAATGTATACCGATACTATGTACATCAAAATTACATGTGGCCATACAATAAAATTTAATAATAAAAATTTTTATTACATTTTTAAATAAGTAACTAAATTAAATTCTTTCTTTTTGCTTTCTTTTCAATAAGAAAAAACATAACGTATATAACTCATCAACGAGCTTTTTAAGTTTTCGAGAATCTTTAATTTTCCTTACGTTTAGGCGTTATTACAATTTCCTAACATGCGTTTCACTTTGAACTGGACAATTTGGACAGCAACATTACCTATTCATGGGTACCTTAAAAGAATTAATTGTAAATGCTGAACCTACCGCCACTCATTTTTTTATAAAAAATTAGCAGATATGAAGAAATTAACAAGAGTATATGGGGTGTTACACATTAAAACAGCCCTTTTTTACATATATCTCATTTTGAGATAACTAGGCGCTTGAGTTGTTTAAAGGGAGTTAGAGATGAGTGTACTATATCTGATATTGTATTATGCAGTGCAAGG